CCCCTTTTAACTTATTACTGTGACTCCTTGCAAACATTGTTGAATGTATTTAATTCCCTAATTTTATACAATTGGAAATAATTTTGCCCATTTGCAACATTTCCTAAAATTAAATTAGAAAGATTGAATGGGATACACACATTGCTTCTAAAATAACAGTCGTTAAAATAGAAACACAACAGAAGGCACAAGAGGTCATATTGTATACATTTGAAAATATAAAACCTTCCTTGATTATAACTTGAACAAAACTTAAGGCCTTCCATTATGAAATCTCAAGACACTCTGCTAAATAGCATCAGTGTTCAAAACGAGTCTCTTCTTCCCATATTTATACAATTAAAAATGCTAACTTTTTCCAATGTTCTACAGACATATTGGGAGATGGACTGTAAATATGTTAGTTGCTATTTTCACATTGGGTGTGGAAAATGGCTGCAAGCTCAATATTGTGCAAATGAAAACCGGCTATTTGCAGCATTCACTTTAATTTAAAAGCATCCCTTTAAATTGTTCAATTGTCCAGTTGGGATATGGCACAAATTATCTCTGCATTTACGTACACGCCCTTTTCTAATGAGGCAATTAGCCTTAACTAATGAGCCCATTTGCCAGCAGCAGGGCTGTCTGTTCCTTGTTCTATCTCTCCAGCGCTTTGCAACCATATAAAGATATGGTGGCTTTATCCAAAGCTTCCTAAGCTATGGAGCAAAGCACGGAAGTGATTCTTTGCAGTTTATGGACCTGACAATAAAAAGGAATGCTTGAATTGACTTTGCAGTGCACTTTAATTTGTCTATGTGTCTATGTCCTTTCAATAATAAAGGGAAACTCCATGATACTTACCATTATTACTGCCTCCATAAAAAGATATGCAGCCTTGTCTATATTGTGTATTTTGTGTATTTGTATTTTGTTATTTGTGTATTGTGTATTTTGTATTCCAAAGCACCAAAAGGCAAGACAAGAAACAATGGATGGAAACTAACCAATAAGAGAAGCAACCTAAAATTAAGGAGAAATTTCCTAAAGGTGAGAGCAATCAACCAATGGAATAGCTTGCCTTCAGAAGTTATGGGTGCTCCATCACTGGAGGCTTTCAAGAAGAGACTGGACAACCATTTGTTCAAGCAGAGGGTTGGACTAGAAGACCTCCAACGTCCCTTCCAACTCTATTCTTCTATATTCTATGTTCTGTATGAACATATTATTTATCGTAACAATACGTTCAATACCACTATGTTTTTCTGCCATCTGGTGGACTTTATCTTCCTAAGTTCAAAAATGTACAGGGATAATACTCTACTGTAAAATAAAGAGATATCGACTGCATAGTAGAAGAGGTGTTTTGATATAAAATGCAGAAATATCACAGTGACAATAAAGGCACACGTGTTAAGGTAATCAGTTGTCTCAGTGGTATTGGTCAGCTTTGAAACCCAGATTATCAGAAAGGCTGAATGAAAAAAGAAGTTGATTTCTTTGAATTGTGGTGATGAACAGAATTGTTGAGAATACCTTGGACTGATAAATAAGAAACAATGGGGCAATAAGGACAAATATTCTAAAGAAGAATAAGGGGGGAAATGTAAATAATAGAAGATTACCATTACGTAATCGCTGTTAAAAAAAGTTGGAGGAGTATATACTGTGTGTGCATGTGTGTTATGTTTTGCTTTGTTTTGTTTTGTTGGTTTAAAATAAAATAAAATAAAATAAAATAAAAAAGAGAATACCTTGGATTGATAAAAAATGCACATAATTCAATACTATACAAAGTAAAACCGGACACTCACTTAAATGAATGAATGAAATAATGAAACTCTAACATAAATGTTGGGGATAGATATTGCAAAGACTGGTTGAAGATGACCCTGATGCTTGGAAAATTAAAGGCAATCTCAGAAGTGGCTAACAGTAGACAAGATGATTTGATGCTATCACTATACAAGCAGGAGCTTATAAACCTTCAGAGGAATGATTGATATGCAATGACATCAAAATGTGGTCTGTCAGGACCCAGAGAGGCAGAAGGGATTGAATGACTGAACAAATGCTCATCCAGGTTTTTTACAACCTATACTGCAGTTGTCACCTGCCTGAAAATTATTAAGACCACTAATGACCAAAATTACTCATCATTAAAATAGTGATCAGTTTTCAAAAGAGCCTATCATAATTCAATGGTGAAAAAAGTAAGGTTCTACATTTAGGCAAGAAAAACCAAATGCACAGGTATTAGGGAATGGTGGCCTCAGAGATAATCTGGCCTTGGACTTTATAGGGCTTTAAAGGTGATTACTACCACTTGAACTGCACTTTGAAAGAAACTGGAAGCCTGTGCAGTTCGCACAACAGAGATGTCACATAGACAAACTGAGGGGCATCCTTCACTGTACACACTACCACATTCTGCACCAATTGAAGTTTCCAGGTTGTCTTCAAGGACAGCCCCATGTAGGTGCATTTCAGTAATGCAAGTGGGAGATGGCCAAGAGCTGAGGTGGCGCAGCAGTTAGAGTGCAGTACTGCAGGCCACTTTAGCTGACTGTGTTCAGCAGGTCAGCGGTTCAAATCTCACCGGCTCAAGATTGACTCAGCCTTCCATCCTTCCGGGGTAGGTAAAATGAGGACCCAGATTGTTGGGGGCAATGTAATATATATATATATATATATATATATATATATATATATATATATATATATATATATATACACATACACACACATTGCTTACTGGTGTACACCGCTTAGAGAGTGCTTGCACTTAAAGCAGTATATAAGACTAATAAATAAATAAATAAATAAGGCATGAGTGAGCAAGGCTTCTTGGTTGAGGAAAGAGCTCAGCTGATGGACAAGATAAATTTGTGCAAAGTCCCACCCTGGCCAAATTGTGCACCAGTTCAATCTGGGGAAGTGCCATCCCATCCACCAAAAAACTCACAGCCACTCTGTCATGCCACAGTTGAATCGAAGTTGGTTCCTCCCTATCCAGACCCTTACAGCTGCCAGCACTCAATCAGCAGTGCCACAGCATCAATTGCCCAGCTAGGGGTGGAGATATATAACTGGATATCACCAATATGCTAATGATATTGGTGCTCATGCTGATGGATGACCTCTCCTAGCAGTTTCATATCGATATTAAAAAGGAATGGCCAAAGCCTTGAGCCTTGGGACATCCTGCATTGCAGGGACCTAGGGTTTGACCTTTTTTCTCCTATCAACTCCAACTGGAACCAGCCACTAAGGAAGGAGAACCACTGTAACTCTGTGCCTCCCATTCCAAACCCTTTAAGCTGATGAATAGAATAGAATAGAATAGAATAGAACAGAACAGAACAGAACAGAACAGAATAGAATAGAATAGAATAGAATGGAATGGAACCTTGGAGGTCTTCTAGCCCAGCCCCCTCTCAAGCAGGAGAACCTATACCATTTCAGACAAGTGACTGTCTAGTCTCTTCTTAAAAACCTCCAGTGATGGAGCACCCACGATTTCTGAAGGCAAAGCTGTTCCACTGGTTGATTCTCCTCACTGTTAAGAAGTTTCTCCTTAACTCCAGGTTGCTTCTCTCTCTGATCAGTTTCCAACCATTGTTTCTTGTCCTGCCTTCTGATCCAGAAGGATACCATGGTTGATGGTATGGAAAGCTGCTGAGAGATCCAGGAAGGCTACGATGATTGCATCACCTCCATCCCAAGCCCTCCAAAAGTCATCAACATTGAATATTATGCATTCCTTTGTCTTGAGGGAGGAGGATGGCAGGGAAGTGGGTCTGATGGGTGGAAGATGGGGAGGACAGGAGATGGACAGAAAATGGATAGGTATGCAATATTCACCTTTACTCTGACACTCTGACAATAATTTAGAAGTGATTTGGACTTCGTGTGAGCCCAGTAATTCTCTGCTATTCATTAAAAGCCCAACTTTTAACAGGGTAATGCTCAAGCCTGAAGAAAGATGCCCTTTTAAAAGAATTGCATTAAGCAGTCAACCAAACCCTCAAATTCTATCACTTGGGGAATTAGAATTGATCTGACATTTGAGGTCTTGCAGTGGACTTAGATGGCAAGTGCTCTAGGCAGGAGCAGCACATTGGAGGATGCAACCTTATAGGCTGGCTGGCCTCGGGCTAGTCACTTGCTTTCAAGGGCAATGCAAGCATATTGTTCTATCATTTTACTGAAACAATCAACAGGAACGTCAGTTGCTTACTGAATATCTTGTGTTCCATTTGGACTCCTATTTAGAAGAAGGTTCTTTCCAACCCTTCAATTAATCTAATTCCAGACAAAATGCTGCTATGACCCAGGATGGTCTTTGAGGACCACAAGTGGTATATAAGTCTAAGTGCTGTTGCTATCATCAAGGCTAACATTTTCTGATATAAATAGGTGGACTCTTCCAAACTCGCTCATATTCTCCATCTCTGAAAGTCTGTAAGAAGAGGCTATGCAGCTACTTCACATGGGTTGTTTCCTTGTACACTGCAGAAGGTTGAACTAGATAATTCATATAGCTAGAGGCCTTTCCTGGTCTATAAGTCTATGTTGGAATCACAAAAGAGTCAATGATGAATTGCAACTGTATTTATCTGGTGAAAGTTGAGGTTTTCTATAGAGGGGGGACGAGGTAAGCCCAGAGCATTGAAGGTTAAATAGTGGGGAAAATATCTGATCTGAGCTTCTTAATAATGGAATAACAGTAAGCTATGAGGCTGGTAGAATTAATGCTCCTTGTACAATACATAAAACTTTATTTACTGGGAACAAATGTCTTTTGCTTAAGATACAGCTTTTGAAAGTGGGAACTGTGGACATGTTAAAGGAAGGCAAAGTGGAGGATAAAGCTTTTCTCCAGGCAGGATACAACTGCCTTATCAAAAGTGTCTGTATGATGTTTCAATAACTCTAAATATATTGGGATGGGCTACACACATAAACGCACACAAACACAAAGACACCTCTAACAGAACTTTCTTCTCTATTTTCAGTATTCTGGTGAAGTTCCAGAAAACCGGATAGAAGTTGTTGTCGCTAATTTGACTGTGATGGACCGAGATCAACCCCATTCGCCCAACTGGAATGCTGTTTACCGAATAATCAGTGGAGACCCTTCCGGTCATTTTACCATTAGGACTGATCCTGTTACCAATGAAGGCTTGGTAACTGTTGTGAGGGTATGTTTGTCTCTCATTCTCTGGGGACTTTTTCCACAGACAAGTTCTACAGAGATTTGAATTTGGAGGAAAGTTGGTCCAGACTTTGTAGGGATCTGATTCATGAAGGCAACACATTCAATGAATACAACAACCATCATGTAGTAAATCGGGGGTCTTCAAACCTGGCCCTTTTATGACATAACTGCCAGAATTCCTCAGTCAGGCATGCTGGCTGAGGAATTCTGGGAGCTGAAGTCCACAAGTCATAAAAGGACCAAGTTTGAAGACCCCCGCATGGATGCATGCATGGATGGATGCCTGGATGCCTAGAATGGATAGAATAGGAGGGAGGGAGGGGAGGGGATGGGGTGGGGTGGGATACAAAGTGATAGAACGGGATGGGAAGGGAAGGGAGGGGAAAGGAAGGGAAGGGGGGAGGGAGGGAGGGAGGAAGGAAGGAAGGAATAAAGGGATGGAGGGGATGGAAGAATGGGATGCAATGGGATGGGATGCAATGGGATGGAATAGGTGGATGGACAGACGTGTGTCACTGGAACTGCACAGATATGGGTTCAAGATCCAATAGGAACAGGTCATAACATTATAGCTTTCTTATTAAAAGTAAAATTGATTTTTAGAAACAGAAAAAAAAAATTCAAGTCAATATTACATGCAGCTCAAAATTCCACCCAGCCAACTTATAAAGCTTTGCCCGTTCAATGCCATTTTAACATCCCATTAAACTGTTCAAGACTGTATTGTCCTGAAATCCTGAATACCTTCCTCTCTTGGGTGCCAAGAGTCTGAATATGATGGTGTAGGGGTCATGCAACTCTGTTCAGACTTTGCAGTCTTCCCATAGTATAAGCTGAGCCATTATTGAAGAAATCTATACATCACACAAGGGAATCTTAAGGAAACGTGGCAGTTCTATTGGGATAAAATGAGTGCCTTGATCCATATCAGCAAGATTGCCTTGTCAGAACTTTTTTGTCAAGTGGGAATTATCCTCTAGATAAGGCATTAGGTGAAATAAAATTAACTGCAACTGATGGTAGAAAAGTGCAAAGTTTTTGATGTGGACACTGAAATGTCCCCGCATCATATTTTCACACTGATAGCAGTTAGTATGTAATAATAAAAGAAGAACTGTGCTGGATCAGTCAAAGACTAGATTATTCCTGTATCTTATTCTTTACAGTGGTCCTTTGTGGAATGACCACAAACATATAGCCTTACAGATAGTCCTTGACTTACAACTATTCGCTTAGCGACCATTTGACATTACAACAGCACTGAAAAAAGTGACACGACCATTTTTCACACGTAGGACCATTGCAGCATCCCCATGGTCACGTGATCATAATTCAGACGCTTGGCAACTGACAGTTATTTATGACGGTTGCATTGTTTTGGAATCTGGTGATCACTTTTCGTGACCTTCTGACAAGCAAAGTCAATGGGAAAGCCAGATTCATTCACAACCATGTTACTAGCATAACAACTGCAGTGGTTCACTTAACAGCTGTGGCAAGAAAGAATGGGGCAAAACTCACTTAACAGTTGTCTTGCTTAGCAACAAAAATGTTGGGCTCAATTGTGGTCTTCAGTCAAGGATTACCTGTAGTTGCCATGGACACCCACATCTGCCAGGATTTTTTTTCTAAACCCTATTCCACAACACAACATTCCCTAAACTGGTGCCCCTCCACTGTGTTAGATTTTAACTTCCATCATTTCCAGCTGAATCACACTCCCTGAAAATTACGGGAATTAAAATCCAGCTTATCTGGGAGGCACCAGAATGAGAAAGCCTTCAATAAATCATAGAACCCTTTAGTTACAGTATGTATCTCATCCCATGTACATTTCTCTGAAAATATATCCAATGCTATTCCATGTTACAGTTCTAACAGAACAACAGAACAGAATAACGAAATAACAGAGTTGGAAGGGATCTTGGAGGTCTTCTAGTCCAACCCACTGCTCAAGCAGGAAACCCTATACCATTTCAGACAAATGACATCCCAATCTCTTCTTAAAAATCTCCAATGATAGAGTACCCACAACTTTTCAAGGCAAGTCATTCCACTGATTAATTGTTCTAACTGTCAGGAAATTAGGGGGGATTTTAAGAAGAGATTGAACAACACGTGGCAGTGCCTGGAGACAGCGGAATAGACGAGAAAGAACTGGAGAAGATAACAAAATACAAAGACCTACAAATAGAAATAGAAAGACTGTGGCAAAAGCAAGCAAGGGTAGTACCAATAGTAATAGGCTCCTTGGGTGCAATCCCAAAACAATTGGAGCACCACTTGAACACCATTGGCATTGACAAATTCGCTATTAGTCAATTGCAAAAGGCAGCCTTACTAGGAACTGCTTCCATCCTGCGACGATACCTGTAATACCATCAAACATCCACATCTGCCTATCCCAGGTCCTGGATAAGGACTCGATAGGTAGACAAAATGCCAAATCCAGTTTGAACATCTGGCTGGCTGTGCGATGATCCAGAAGAAGAAGAAGAAGAAGAAGAAAAGAAGAAGAAGAAGAAGAAGAAGAAGAAGAAGAAGAAGAAGAAGAAGAAGAAGAAGAAGAAGAAGAGGAGGAGGAGGAGGAGGAGGAGGAGGAGGAGGAGGAGGAGGAGGGGGAGGACGAGGAGGAAGAGGAGGAGGAGGAGGAGGAGGAAAGTTGGAAGGTACCTTGGAGGTCATCTAGTCCAACCCCCTGCTCAGGCAGGAAACTCTATACCATTTCAGACAAATGATTATCCAGTCTCTTCTTAAAAACTTCCAGTGTTGGAGCATTCATCGCTTCTGGAGACAGTCTAGAATGGTATATAGGATCTCATACTTGAGCAGTGGGTTGGACTAGAAGACCTCCAAAGTCCATTCCATCTCTATTATTCTATGTTCTAAAAGAGGGGGGAGACCTAACTTTCCCCATCCTGTGTGTGAACGGGGCATTTAAAAAAAAATATTTGAATCAGAAAACAAACCATCCATTGCAGCCTGGTCGTTCTGCAAGCAGCTTCATCCAGCTTCATCTGGAGGCTTTTAAAAAGAGACCCGAACAGCCTCTTGTCTGAAATGGTATAGGGTCTCCTACTTGAGCAGGAGTTGGACTGGAAGACTCCAAAGTCCCTTCCAACTCTATTCTGTATCTTTTTGGCAGCTTCCATCCTAACCTCTTCTGCCATTGAAACAAGCCTGCCGAGAGGCATCTATGATGTACAGTTCCAATTTTATTTTTCACTGCAACAAGAACCGTTCCCTCTGTGGCAGAAGATGCTTATCTCCATCACAAGCCTTGTATAAATCAGGCAAGGCGGGGAAAGGATCATTTTGCAGGGTCTGAATAAATTCCCCAAACATGGAACAGAGGTGCTCTGTGGCTGCCTAAAACATTATACGAATGTTGCGAGGAATATAGACATGAATTTGAAAGAGAGATGCACGCCGTTATTGTTTTCCTTTCTCCAGACATAATAACTAGAGGATAACTTATTTCTTTATAGCTAAAAATGCCCTTAGAACTAAAAAAAAAAAAATAAACAAAACCCAAAAGACAATTCAAACCCCCACCTTATTTATCTGCATTATATGTACTGCTTAAGTAACTATGGTGATCGTTTCCAAATTAGAAGCCACTAGAAAAGGTTCTTCTAAACTTCTGGAGATATAATCCAAACATAAAGAAAAGTGGAAACGCTACAAGATCTGTAGGAGGATAATGGGTGATTAAGGTAAAGGCAAAGATAAAAGTTTCCCCTGTCCAGTCATGTCTGGCTCTAGGGGGCTGTGCGTATCTCCAACATTGTCTGAAGACACTTCCGTGGTCATCTGCCCAGCATGACTATTTAATAATAATAATAATAATAATAATAATAATAATAATAACACCATTGGCATTGACAAATTCGCTATTAGTCAATTGCAAAAGGCAGCCTTATTAGGAACTGCTTCCATCCTGCGACGATACCTGTAATACCATCAAACATCCACATCTGCCTATCCCAGGTCCTGGGTAAGGACTCGATAGGTAGACAAAATGCCAAATCCAGTCTGAACATCTGGCTGACTGTGCGATGATCCATAATAATAATAATAATAATACATCAAGCACACTGAAGTCAAGAAAAAGATTAGAGGTGAATACATTAAGAGAGTGAAGAAGATCTTAAAGTCCAAACTCAATGGAGAATAGACGAGAAAGAACTGGAGAAGATAACAAAATACAAAGACCTACAAATAGAAATAGAAAGACTGTGGCAAAAGCAAGCAAGGGTAATACCAATAGTAATAGGCACCTTGGGTGCAATCCCAAAACAACTGGAGCACCACTTGAACACCATTGGCATTGACAAATTTGCTATTAGTCAATTGCAAAAGGCGGCCTTATTAGGAACTGCTTCCATCCTGCGACGATATCTGTAATACCATCAAACATCCACATCTGCCTATCCCAGGTCCTGGGTAAGGACTCGATAGGTAGACAAAATGCCAAATCCAGTCTGAACATCTGGCTGACTGTGCGATGATCCATAATAATAATAATAATAATACATCAAGCACACTGAAGTCAAGAAAAAGATTAGAGGTGAATACATTAAGAGAGTGAAGAAGATCTTAAAGTCCAAACTCAATGGAGAATAGACGAGAAAGAACTGGAGAAGATAACAAAATACAAAGACCTACAAATAGAAATAGAAAGACTGTGGCAAAAGCAAGCAAGGGTAATACCAATAGTAATAGGTGCCTTGGGTGCAATCCCAAAACAACTGGAGCACCACTTGAACACCATTGGCACTGACAAATTCTCCTATTAGTCAATTGCAAAAGGCGGCCTTACTAGGAACTGCTTCCATCCTGCGACGATATCTGTAATACCATCAAACATCCACATCTGCCTATCCCACGTCCTGGGTAAGGACTCGATAGGTAGACAAAATGCCAAATCCAGTCTGAACATCTGGCCGACTGTGCGATGATCCATAGTAGTAGTAGTAGTAGTAGTAGTAGTAGTAGTAGTAGTAGTAGTAGTAGTAGTAATAACAATAAAGTTGGAAGGGACCTTGGAGGTCATCAAGTCCAACTCCCTGCTCAGGCAGGAACCCTACACCATTTCAGACAAATGGCTGTCCGGTCTCTTCTTAAAAACTTCCAATGTTGGAGCATTCACTGCTTCTGGAGGCAGGTTGTTCCACTGGTTAATTGTTCTCACTGTCAGGAAATTTCTCCTAAATGCTGATACACCAAAGTGTATCTACTCAGATTTGCATGCTTTCAAACGACTAGGTGGGCAGGAGATGAGGCATGTAAGGGGAGTTCACCCCATTGCTCAGTAGCTGGGCCTCAGCGTCTTTAACTGTTGAGCCATCCTGCCCCCTAATGGATGATTAAGGCCAATATTTAATCGCCCATATTAGAAGAATTAAAATAATGCACATTTATGAATGGAATGGAATGGAGCTGAAAGGGACTTTGGAGGTCTTATAGTCCAACCCCCTGCTTAGGCAGGAAACCCTATACAAGTGATGGTGAACCTTTTAGAGACCAAGTGCCCAAACTGCAACCCAAATCCACGTATGTATCATCAGGTGCTAGGTGGGCATGGCCCTTTGGGTGGGTGTGGCCAATTGGGTGGGCATGGCCGCACGCGGGCCATAGATTCACCACCACAGACTTAGGTTTAGGGTTATGTCACTTTGAACTCAGAGCAAAATGGACATCACTAACTAACTCGGGATACTTGGGTATGGTTGGGAGGGCACTGACTTTTCTAGCCTGCCCTACCTATGTTTCCTGGTAAAATACATGGGAAAATCCCATTGGAGGAAAATTCCACTTAGGCCCATTTCAGACAAATGCTTGTCCAATCTCTTCTTAAAAACTTCCAGTGTTGGAGCATACACCGTTTCTGGAGGCAGGTTGTTCCACTAGTTAATTGTTCTAATTGTCAGGAAATTTCTTCTAGGTTGCTTCTCTCCTTGATTAGCTTCCATCAGTGCAGTTCATCAGTTCATTGAATCCAGATACAGCCTAGCCAGCATAAACACAGTTAACTTCATCTAACAAATGCCATCGAATCCTTTGGCTGAGCAACACATAACACTATATGACTAGTGGTAATCATTTTTTTTTCCTACAAGAAAATGCAAACAAGAAAAAAAATGTGTTCAGAAGTATGAACCTCTTCATTCCTCTTGCAAAAAAGATTATTTGTAACTCCAAATGTAGGAAGAGCAGCTTGCTTTTCCTCCCATAAAGAGAGGTTTGTCGCCTGGTCCCAATGAAACTCCCTTCCTGGGTTTTGCATGCCAACACAGGTCGTCCTTGACTTATGACCACAATTGAGTCCCACATTTCTGATGCTAAACAAGACGCAGTTGTTAAGTGAATTTTGCTCCATTTTATGACCATCCTTTCCATGGTTGTTAAGTGAATCACTGCAGTGTTTAATTACTCACCTGGTTGTTAAGTGTATCTGGCTTCCCCATTAACTTTGCTTTACAAAAAGTCACAAAAAGGGATCCTGTGACCCTGGGACACTGCAAATGTCATAAATACGAGCCAGTTGCCCAGCGTCTGAATTTTGATCATGTGACCATGGGGATGCTGCAATGGTTATAAGTGTGGAAAATGGTCATAAGTCACTTTTTTCAGTGCCCTTGTACTGTCACTAAATGGACCCTCGTAAGTTGAGGATTACCTGCACATTTGATATGTAAGAAGCCTTTATCTTCTGATACCTCAGAAAATAATATCCTTTCTGAGGGTATTAAAAATTGCGTTCATTGTTTAGTCTCCGTGGTTTATTCCATATTAAGTTATAAAACTTCTGTCTTTGATTCAGTATCCTGAATCTGATTGTTTCAGCAAATTTTGTTTGGATAGCTCTTTGCAAGGCTGTATATCCTTCTTTTAAGCACTCTCCTAACATTCTACTTGCAGTAAACTATTCTCTCTTAAAAGCCTTCCAGCAATGTTTCATTTGCTACCCTTAGTGCCAGAATTAATGATGCTATTCCTGGCTTCTTGAGATCTGATCTCATAAGTATCAGAGAGTGCTAACTTAATTGTTACTGATTTGTCCAAATGTGACACTAGCAAGTTTATATCAAGCCATAGATTCCTATAAGGAAGGCTTGAAAGCCAGGGAGATGGAGGGATGGATGGAGGGATGGAGGGTTGGAGGGGGGAGGGAGGGGGGGAGAGATGGAGGGAGGGAGCGATGGAAGGAAAGAAGGATGGAGGGATGGTTGGTTGGATGGATGGATTTTACTTGTCTAATTTCTAAAAATATAAGGATATTTATTGCAAGATAGGCAACCCTTCCAAATTATCGTTACAAATTCCACAACTTTATAACTACAATTTGTAATGTCAGTTGGGCTTCAGACTGCATCAGCAGTAAAAGTATGATAACTGGAGTTTTCATTTTGATTTTTGGACAAAATAATATCCTCATTGCGCTGGAAGAGAAATCATTAGCATTGGCTACCCATAATTTTTCAAGACTATTCAGACTAGGTGTCCTTCAGATGAGGTGGGATAGAACTCTTGAGTTCTTAAATTTGTAATCCCAGTCCAATTGCAGAGTGGTACTTTGGGAAGATTCCTCTAAAATGCCACTGGACTCTTGTTTTTTCTACTTTCAAATAGCTAGTCAAGGAACAGACCTTCCTTAGTGTTGAAAGAAAAATCTTCATCAGGGTCCAGTCCAAGCTGAGAATAAACAAAATGGAGACTGCTTTAAAAAGAAGGTTGTAGTTTACTGAAAAGGAGAGCCAGACAGAAAGATGGCTCTGGGAAAAAACTGACCACATGTAGTAAGAAGTGGGTTTTTATACCTTCTTGGGCTTTTATTTGGAGTTGTTCCTGTGGATGAACTTTGACCTGAGTCTGAGTGAGCCCTTCTGGTATTCTGATGGTGGTGGGTTAATCCTATTATGTCCCAAAGGTTATATCCTGCTTCTCTGGGGCTGTAGCTGATGAGTGTTGGATTTTTTTGGTATGAGAGATTGTTGATCCTAGGGATCTTTATCTTTCTAATCTCAGCTTCCTGACTCCAATCTTTCTGACAAGATTATCACATCTGCATTTCTGCAGACCTGGTTTCTGTTTGGGGCAGAGAGACTTGGGGGGGGGGGTTTCTGCCTTTAAGATCCTTTGAGGAAATATTCTGCCTTTTAATATTCCCAAGAATATTTCTTTCTCTGGGGGGAGCTGACTTCCCACATCAGCATAGAATATCACATGGACCATCTACTCAACTTTTCTGCTCCTTCCTTATAAACCAATCCAGCATTCTGGTCAACACCTAAACAAACATAAGACCATAGAATACTGAGTGATCATGGCATTTCCAGTTGATATTTCTTTCCCATGCCTCTGTTTCATTTCAGGAAGTTGATTATGAGATGAACCGAGCTTTTATGTTGACGGTGATGGTGTCCAATCAAGCTCCTCTTGCCAGCGGGATCCAAATGTCCTTCCAGTCTACAGCCGGAGTCACCATTTCAGTCACTGATGTCAATGAGCCCCCCTACTTCCCAACAAACCACAAACTCATCAGGCTGGAAGAGGGTGTGCCTACAGGGACGGCACTCATGACTTTTTCAGCAGTGGATCCTGACCGTTTCATGCAACAGGCTATCAGGTATGATGGTGGAAAGTAGAGCTCACTATTTTGGAGATCGTCAACATTTGAATGCCTGTGAACCACATGTAACGGGAAAGGATGTAAAATAGATGGAACCATGTTACACACATGCATGGGAGTTGGGTTGGGTTCAGTTGGTTTTTAGATAAGACACTTATAGAACAGAGGTCACCAAACTTTTCATGCTGGCAGCCCAGAGGGAAAGGGATCAGCTGTGAAATTTGCGCACGCACAAACCCACATGCGCAATCGGGCCCCTGCGCAAATGGGGCCACATGTGAATGGGGCCACGCACACCCACATAGGGCTAGCTGCCCCATTTGCGCAGACACTAGCCGCCACCGCTGCTAGCCCCACATGCACGTGTGAACGGGCCACACAACCTGCACGGCTCTAGCAATCCTGTTTGTGCATGCACGCAGGTGCTAGCCACTGCCGTTGCTAGCCCCACGCGCATGCGCAAATAGGTCTGCAGGCTCTAGTGCAAGTGGGGGTGAGTGCACGCACACACGTGCATGCACTGGCCAGCCTGTCCCCTAGCCCGGTGGCCAGTAGGCCACGGCCTGGCAGTGGGCTGCAGACCATAGGTTGGGGACCCCTGTTATAGAAGACAATATTTGTAGCTCAGGATTGAACGGTGGGGTCCTTGGTGCTCTCTGGGCTTGGTGGTTTTCTTGAAGACTTTTCATTACCAAACTAGGCAATATCATCGGTTCTAGTGACGTTGCCAAGTTTGGTAATGAAATATCTGCAAGAAAACCACCAAGCTTAGAGAATACCAAGGACCCATCAGATAAGAGACTTGTTTGGAGCTTACATTACACTTTTATCTGTTTACTGCCTCAATACAGCATGGAACTGTGCTGCTGTTTTATTTAGCAGCTGTATTTGGAAAGGGATCTTGGAATTAAATAATTACTGAAATCCATTCCACCTTGTTTCCATTGGCAAATCTGTGTCACTGGAAACATCTGGCAATGCAAAATTATCCCACAGAAAGGATCAACAGCTTAATGGTTAGCCTCCAGTTTTGTATGATCAGGGTTTGAGGTTCTATCCCTGACATTGCCAGGCAAATTTGGGGAAATTCTGCTCAAAACCTAGATTGTCAGGCAGTGCTGACACTTACTGTAGTTCTGGAATAGATGGAGCAATGGTCTGGACTCAGATAAGATGGTAGGGCTGTTTTTAATGGAGCTTTCATTGAGCCATCATGGCTGAGATCATGACTGTTTTGAACTCTGGTATCAGTTCAAATTCAAAAGGTATGATCCTGGGATAAGATGCAGCTGTTTTAAAGAGTCACACACACATTCTACATTTTTTTTTCTATTGCTTGGTCCAGCGCCTGATAAAATGAATGTCAAAGTGGCTGGTTAATTATGCTCTGCATTTGCATGATTCCTATGTTCCCAAGAAAGCACATATCTGATTTCCCATTACATTTTTGAATGTACATGTATTAAAAAAAGAGTTAGATGCACACCTCATAAATGAGCTATCCCTGAATTCTGCCTAGTTCCAGCAACAGTTAAAGAGAGTGGCTATAAACGTTGTCACAAACCTTCCATATTTTGAACATTCAGTGCATTTAAATCCCAGTTGATTGTGTGGACCTGTACATTGAACAGTAGCCTAAGAAAAAAGGAAATTTAAGTTATCCTTTCTTTGTCTCTGGGTCCCACTGGCTGTCTGTTCCTTTATTGCAAACGTGAGATAAATTTGGCACAGTACGAAGGTGCCCTGTAGAATTAGCACTGGGGCCAATTAAACTTACATCACTTGTGTGACATTTTATAATCATTCAAGGGATGAGATATTTTAAGGGGGAATAAAGCTGTCTGGTGCAAAAATGACAATGGTTAACTCATTGCCTCTGCTGGTTGGCACGGATTGGCAGTGGAAATTTTAAGGGTGGAGGGGAATGTCTTAGCTAACAAGGCCATTTTTCTTCATAGTTCTGTTTTGCAATGGCTGGTCCTTCAAGGGGGAGCTCATTTTTCTCCTACACCTGGATCAGCTTAGAGGTGACCCAAAGGAATGCAGTGAACCTGCCATCAGCTCAATCAATTTAGCACTGATTGATCATGCAAGGTGTGCCTTGCTTTTTTTCATTTTTAAAATAAACCGAAAGCAAGGTACAAACAATCATTTAACAGGATGAAGACAACCCAAAATTACAATGTTACAAAAAGTTTAACTTTATAACAATCTTAATTTTTTTAAAAAAAATCTATCTATCTATCTATCTATCTATCTATCTATCTATCTATCTATCTATCTATCTATATCTGTCTGTCTGTCTGTCTGTCTGTCTGTCTGTCTGTCTGCCTGCCTGCCTGCCTGCCTGCCTGTATTTCTTTCTGTCTGTCTGTCTGTCTGCCTGCCTGCCTGCCTGCCTGCCTGCTTGCCTACCTATATTTCTTTCTTTCTTGCTTGCTTGCTTGCTTGCTTGCTTGCTTTCTGTCTATTCGCTGTAAGCCACTTGGAATGTTTGCATAAACAGAAAGATGTCGCATAAATTTAACAATAGACAAATAAGCATGAGTTTGGGAGCTTCCAGTTTGTTTGGATTGGGTGGAAAGGCATGGACTGTTTTCTTGATCCATTTTGTAATCCCAGCTGTTCTTTATAGAAAGAAAAAACAATCACAGCTTCCTTTCATCTTGAACAGTTATGGGCAGTTTTGATGAAGAAAACAATGCACAGACAGAGCATTCTTACACATCAGCATATATACAGTTCACGTGACATGAAGACTGGATGGATGGATGGATGGATGGATGGATGGATGGATGGATGGATGGAGGAAGGGAGGGAGGGAGGGAGGCTAGAATGGATAGCTGGACAGTTAGTTGGCTGGCTGGATAGCTAACTGGACATTTGGCTGGACAGAGAGATGGATTATGTGCCTTTAAGTCAGTGTGGACTCTATGGTGGTTTATTCCACTGATCCTGTAAACCAGTGTTTCTCAACCTTGACAATTTTAAGGCATGTGGACTTCAACTCCCAGAATTCCACAGCCAGCATTGCTGGCTGTGGAATTCTGGAAGTTGAAGTCCACATGCCTTAAAATTGTCAAGGTTGAGAAACGCTGCTGTAAACCATGAGTACTAACTACTGCATGCTAAGCTAAGATATGGTTGGTTGAAAGGTTCAACACTCTAAAATGTGCCTTAGTGTAAGGTTATTTTCCATCCACATTAGGGACTTCTCACTCGAAGGGACTCTTAGGTGTTTTTCTTTGCTTCTGCAGATATTCCAAGCTGTCGGATCCTGCAAACTGGCTGAATATTAATGCCACAAATGGTCAGATCATCACTGCAGCTGTCCTTGATCGCGAGTCAGCCTACGTTAAGAACAATGTCTACGAAGCCACATTCCTGGCAGCTGACAACGGTAGGCTTGAACACTCCACTCTTCATGCTTCAATAATAATCAGACGTATTCACAGAAAAAATGCCTTGACACAGTTGTCAGTATAATTTAGATGTTCCCATGTTTTCCTAATTCTTTTTTTGGGGGGGAAGATCTTCATGAAGTTGAGTTAGGACACTGCCAAAAGAAATGAAATGTGTGAAATGTTCACAGGCTACAATGGAAAGGAAAACTGGGGAGAACAGAAAGGGAACATAAGAAATTAGAAGGTTTTTCTATATTTATTTGTTAAATTCTATTTGTTAAGGATGTCCCAAAGGTGCTTTTTCAAAGGGCAACTGGACTTCATTTTTCCTTGAAGATGTTTTGCTTCTCATCCAAGAAGCCTCTCCAGTTCTGTCTTTACTTCAGCCAACTGAAGAAGCTTCTTGGATGAGAAGCAAAATGACTTCAGAGTAAGACTGAAATTTGCTATATCCTGATTTAATCAATCAACCAGAAGAGAGCTGGAAGGTACCTTGGAGGTCTTCTAGTCCAGCCCCCTGCTCAAGCAGGAGACCCTGTACCATTTCAGACAAGTGGCTGTCCAGTCTCTTCTTAAAAACTTCCAGTGATGAAGCACCTACAACTTCTGATGACAAGCTGTTCCAGTAGTTAATTGTTCTCACTGTTAAGAAGTTTCTCCTTAGTTCCAAGTTCAAAGAAAAACAAAGTCCAGTTGCCTTTTGAAAAAGCACTTTTGGGACAACCATGACCTGAATGGCTGAGAAGATAGACATTTGTGAAGCATCCAATCTGAGTCGATCACCAGGATCAAAGGTTTATTGTTCCAAGCTCACTCTCCCTCTCTCCCTCCCTCCCTCTCTCTCTCTCCCTCCCTCCCTCCCTCCCTCTCCCTCTCCCTCTCCCTCTCCCTCCCTCTCTCTTTCTATGCATGTTGTATTTATCTGGTTCCTGGCTGTGTGTAGCTGTTAGCTGTTAATTTGGGTGTTGTTGGCTGGCTATTAAACTGTTAATTGTTGTTTCGTTATTTATTTGCTGCCTATATCTTACCATGGGTCTATACCAGTGATGGCGAACCTTTTAGAGACCAAGTGCCCAAACTGAAACCCAAAATCCACTTATGTATCATCGGGTGCTTGGGGGGACATGGCCCATTGAGTGGGTGTAGCCCATTGGGTGGGTGTGGCCCATTGGGTGGGTGTAGCCCATTGGGTGGGTGTGGCTAATTGGGTGGGTGTGGCTGCGGTGGTAATGGCAGACTGGGTGGCACTAAAAACTTCAATCAATCAATTCCAACTTTGCAAGATCTTTTTTTTTTCCCACGAGAAGCTGAAATTGACTGATTGATTGAGCCGAGGTGGCGCAGCAGTTAGAGTGCAATACTGCAGGCCACTTTAGCTGACTGTGTTCAGCAGGTCAGCAGTTCAAATCTCACCGGCTCAAGGTTGACTCAGCCTTCCATCCTTCCGGGGGTAGGTAAAATGAGGACCCAGATTGTTGGGGGCAATGTAAATATATATATACATTGCTTACTGGTGTACACCGCTTAGAGAGTGCTTGCACTTAAAGCAGTATATAAGTCTCATAAATAAATAAATAAACAAACAAACAAACCTTTTTTTTCCACATGGCGGTGGAGGACTAAAGCGAAAAGGTTTTATAAAACCCAACTGAAGGCCTAGGACTGGGGCGACGGTCCGTGTGCCCACATAGAGGGCTCTGAGTGCCACCTGTGGCACCTGTGCCATAGGTTCGCCACCGCAGGTCTATACTGTAGGCAGCTTGGGATGAGCGGAGAAGCAGATAGAAAAGGCAGGAGAAAGGATGGACTTCCTATATGTTCCTGATCTTATACAAGTAGTCCTCGACTTACAACAGTTCATTTAGTGACCGTTCAAAGTTACAACGGTGCTGGAAAAAAGTGAATTATGACCATTTTTTACAGTTATGACCTTTGAAGCATCCCCATGATCATGTGGTCAAAATTCAAATGCTTGGCTTCTGGTTCATACTTATGACCGTTGCTATGTCTCAAGGTCAAGTGATCCCCTGTCGCCATCTTCTAACAAACAAAATCAAGGGGGAAGCCAGATTCACTTAACAACCGGGCTACTAACTTATCAACTACAGTGATTCACTTAACAACTGCGGCAAGAAGGGTTGTAAAATGGGGCAAAACTCACTTAGCAAAGGTCTCACTTAACAACGGAAATTTTGGGCTCAATTGTGGTCGTAAGTCGAGGGTTACCTGTATTACCAACTAAGAGACACGGCTGAGGACAGAAAGGGAAGAGACCTCAAGTAGAAATCCAAAAACAATCTAAGGTTAAAAGAGAAAGAATTACACGAAAGCTGTCACTGTATAGATTAGAAACATCAAAGTGAGGTGCTGTACCTTTCCAGTGACCTAAAAGCAACCTTGTCACAATCGACACAATTCACTCAATTTTGTTGCAGGGCCAAGAATCACCAGTGGCATCTTTACTGACAAGCAGATCAGATATTGAAAGTGCCCTACTGTGTCCTTTAAATCACTGAATGTATTGAAGACACTGTTGTGTTCCTCACCCCATTCTGCAGGCTACAGGGGAATAAGTCTGACAGGCATCAGAATAAAGAGGGTCAATCTGCTTTCAAAACCCGGTTTCTTCAAATATCTGCTGTATTTCCTTCCTGAATACATTCCACCTAAGTAGTCACCTATCTCTCTCTCTCTAATATTTATTTCCCGCTGGGCCTCTATGGAGTTGTGGTTACTAACAAAATCAATAATAAAAAAAGCCTAGAAATAGGAACAGAACAGTGGAGAAATGTTTCAGAAACCCTGAAATTAAGTACCATATTTTAAAAGCAGTTAGATTTTAAAACATAAAAAAGAAGAAAATAAATCCAATATAGGTAGCCCTCCTCCAGATTTAGGCAAAGCAATGAAAGGATGATTGAGTTAGGCACAAAGAATCAGGACCATACATTAAGTTGCAGTTGAGAAAGATTTTATAACCAAAGAGAGAATCAACCTAGAACTAAGGAGAAACTTCCTGACAGTTAGAATAATTAACCAGTGGAACAACCTGCCTCCAGAAATGGTGAATGCTCCAACACTGTAAGTTTTTAAGAAGAAACTGGACAGCCATCTGTCCAAAATGGTATAGGGTTACTTGCCTGAGCAGGGGGTTGGACTTGTTGACCTCCAAGGTCCCTTCCAACTTATTATTATTATTATTATTATTTAAGCCTATACACAAAAATCTAGTCAACTAAAGTTCAAATTTGCCAGATAAAGGTCAGTGAATTGGGAGGGGGTGGGCTGGACCTGGATCATATTTTTTTTTATAAATATTTTATTAATTTTCTAGTTTTACAATCAAATACTTAATAGACAATGTTTTGTAATAGACAACGTTTTGTCTGGGTCCATAGTAATTCAGCGATATATATTAACTTCTTCAATCTAGATCCAATATTACACCATCAAATGTTTCTTCTCTTCTTCTGGTAGTACCTGATTTCCCACACTAGGCAAATACAATTCTTATTGTTATTAGTAAATATACAATTGAATATCAACATCTTTGTTACATTTTTCTCGTAATATCAATAATGTCAGTTTTAGATAACTTTTCTAACCAAAACATATCTTAACTGCATTTGCACTTAATATCCATATGTTCAATCAGTATCCTGTTTTCACTTTTTTTTTAATTTTAATTTCCCATCAGTGTTCAAAATGTCTCTATTGTTTATAATTTTAACGTAAATTATATTTGGGTAACCAAAAGCTTCCCTTATTCAAACTTCTTAGCATTTTCCTGTTTCCCTTCTTATACCAGAATCTATTATTCTAGTTACAAATCTTATCTTTCTAGTTATGATAATACTTCTATTTCTAGCAATTATCTATTCTCCACCATATTCAAACATCTAGTTAATAATATAATATCCCATCTAATGGATGAAAATCTCTTATTTTCTTCAGTCTTGCTCTAGCTTTATTTCTTTACCAACTAACTTTCCAAGCCAATGCATTTGAATCATCGGGTAATTTTTTCTCTGTTTTTGTGTATATTATTTGGAATAAGAAAGATCTTTGATTAAAGTATTTTTGGAGGAATGAACCCATTTTTATTCATTAAATAGCCTCCCTCCTTCTCCAATTCCCCATAGTTCTCCTAACAGCCCTATCTTCTATTCAATCAGTTCTTCTTCCTTTTCCTCAAATATGTCCTGAATTCTTGATTGGTAAGATGTCTTTTCCATTTCTGATATTATCACTCCATCCTGGTTCTTTAGTTGTATGAATCTGTCGGTTGGTTCCTTCCTTTAGGTCCTCAATCTTTGGATCTGCTTCCTCTAGTTTTCCTTCTATTTTCTGGGTTGCTAATTCCTTCTTTGTAGTCATGTTCTGGGTTTGTAAATTTAAATTAGAAAATTGTTCTTTTATCTCCTTTGTATTATTTCTAGTCTCATCACGAGCTAAAGTGATAATCTCTTGTATTGATTTTAACATGGATAAAATTTCCTTCTGATCTTCATCCATATTTTCTTGGTAGTATGTCAAACTGAAGACTTTGGGGACAGGTGTTAGAGATGTTTTTTTACCATTTAAAGTTGAGTATGGGACATCAATTTCATTTTTTGTAGGTGGTCTTTATAATAAAAATTGTTCGTCAATCAAGGATTTGTAATCCAAAATATTACATCATCTCAAGCAGTGAAGTGTATTTCTCCTCCAGGGAAATAGTTCCACAACACATTATCTGAAAGTCAGGTAATATTTATATTCGTAGTTCAGACAAGCCAGTTTCAAAGTAGTTCATTGTCTCAGCCACATCAATAAGCAGCCCAAAAGTTTTTGTATTTTTCCCTTTTCCCAGCTGCAGTCTCAAAAGTGAAAGCTTCCAAGGTCAGCAAGAGTCTTATCTAAAGCTGGGCTTCAAGCCAAGTTTCCTTTAGGCATAACAACTTGTAATGCCCTAATTTGCTACTAGATGACATTAGTGCTGTTTTCCAGCTTTTTA